AACCCCCCTCCCCCCCCCCGCCCATGGGCGCAGCAGTGATCTTGCTGCTCCCCTCAAAATCCAGTAATGTGACAGACCCCTAAATACTTTACCTCTTGTAGTACTAACTGGGCCTTGGCTCTGCTTACCTTGAATCTATAACACATTCTCAGTTACCTGACCAACCTCCTCCTCATTGTCCCCATGCACCAATATGTCATTATTCTCTTTTGGTCTTCAGATGTCAAGTTTTTCCCCACATCTTAACCACATGTGAGTGACAAATTTGCAGGGGAGTTATGAAAACCCTGGGGGACTCTTGTGAAACAGAATTGTTGTAACCCAGACTTGTACCTAGACTCAGGCAGGGTAATAATGGTGAAGAAGGCATCTGCTAAATCGCTTACTGAGAACCACTGTGCTCCTGCAGCAACTACTGCTTGGTACTTAGCCATGACTGGAGCAGTGGCAGGGGTTACTGCATTGAATGTTCTAAAATCCACTGTCATTTGCCAGGTTTTCCCATCCCCTTTCAGTACAGGCCAAATTGGGGCATTATTAGTACTAGCCACTTGCACAATAACATCCTGTTCTAGCAAACTTTCAATGGTAGATTTTAGTCCTCCCTCTGTGTACTAATACTTGTGTTGATGCTGTGAAGGAGGGTCAGGACCTAGAATTAAAACCTCAGCATCAATTTTTCCACACTCCAAATTCCACTTTATTTTTAGTCCATACCCCAGGACATTTTTTCACCCACAGGTCCCTTTCTGCTTGCCCTTCTTCTGGATCCTTGACAGCCACACATCTCTGCTGGCTCTTCACCATAGGGAACCCATTGGCTAAATCCAATATTGGTCTTCCCTCATTAAAGTTAGCCATTCCCAATATTCCATCCTCCCTACTCTCATTCCCAGTTTGATTCTGTTCCCGAACACAATATTTTACTAGGGTTGCCAGATGGTTTCACAAAAAATCCCGAACCCCTCCCCCCAAAAGAACAGGCCGGGACAAAATTCTGTTGAGCAAAAAAGGAAAAAAGCAATTCCCAGGCCTCTCCCTCCTCCCCAGAGCTGCCCCGCACGTCCCACGGGGCCTCCCGTCGAGCCGGGCCTCGGGAACACCAGAAAACGCCGCACATTTCAGATGGCCGATATTTGCTGAATTTTTTTACCGGATGGAAGGCGCAAATACTGGGCTGTCCAGTTCAATGCTGGACCCCCGGCAACCCTGCCAGCCCCCAGGAACCCAGTCCCCTAGCGGCACCAGGACCCCGAAGGAATTCCTT